TAGAAAACAATATTATATTGTACACTGGAAATTGATGATAAAGTTAGAAAATTCGAATCATTTAATTAAAATATAGCGATGCTGATGTGATAGTAAAATACCGAACTGTTATGTTCCTCGAAAAGAGTGCAACCCGATATCATAAACGATAGTCAGAAGAGTATTGTAATTGAACTCCCAGAACTGATTATCGAATGCAATATGTGAATAGAATTTAGTTTGATAGATAAAAATTACATGTATATTCTATTTAGATTTATGGGCCGGCATAATCAATTTCGTCTAAGTTTATTTAGATTGCTCAGAAATTCCTAGTTAAACTCATAAATTTCTAATTGAAGAAATACAATTCTTACTATTTTTCTAATTTTTATCATTGGTGGAGTAACTAATGAGGCGCATAGCATCGTGCCTTAAGGCAAATTGCATTGTATCTTCGAAACGGCTAGACCTGCCTATGCCAAAAACTAATCAGCACGTCTCCTTAGGAGGCGTCCTTAATCACGTGAGCGAGTTTTTAAGGATTTTTAAACCCGCCCTCCTTTTTTTGTGATACATGGTGATATTCAAAATTATCACCCCTCCCCCAACAAACATCACGTGTATTTTTAGGTACGTGAAAAAACTTAAAATTTTTTTTTTCGAAAATATCGAACTTTTTCAAAAAAATTAGTTAAAAAATAAATACACACTATACACACAATATACAGAAAAGAAATATTGCTCAGCTCTGTTCTTAGATACCACACAAGCATTTGACAAAGTTTGGCATACAGGACTTCTTTATAAAATTAAAAATACTTTACCCAATGAACTATTTTTATTAATTAAATCATACTTATCAAACCGAAGTTTCATGATCAAACATGAACTCACCTATTAAAACAATAAAATCAGGAGTTCCTCAAGGCAGTGTTCTCGGCCCAATTTTGTTCTTAATTTTTACAGCTGACATTCCCACCTCACTTGACACAGACATAGCCTCATTTGCTGACGATATTTGCATTCTTTCAAAACATGAAAATCCCACAACTGCTTCAGAGCAACTTCAAAGTCACTTAACATCAATAGAAAAATGGTACAAACTGTGGAGGCTAGAGATCAATGGTCAGAAATCATCCCACATCACTTTTACACTCAAACACGAGACATGTCCACCTGTAACTGTGAATGAAATAGAAGTCCCTCAGGTCGAACACGTAAAGTATCTGGGCATGCATCTAGACCGCAAACTGAATTGGAAAATTCGCATGAAAAAGAAAAGACAACAGCTTGAGGAAAAGTTACGAGAACTATATTGGTCAATGGGTAGGAGATCCCATCTTTCTGTACACAACAAAATACTGGTATACAAAGTTGTACTTAAGCCGATTTGGACATATGGCATAGCACTTTGGGGCACCACATCTAAAAGTAATGCTAACATCATTCAAAGTTTTCAGAACAAAGTTCTTAGGATCGCTTTAGGCGCCCCAAAATATACTCCCACCTGGCTGATCCATGATGACACACATATGCGCACTGTAGCCGAGGAAGTTAAAAGATTCGCTGTTAACCACAAAGACAGACTGGAAGAACACCCAAATGAGTTGGCCAACGCACTGCTATCCACAAACACAACACGAAGACTTAAAAGAAAAATATTTAGTGATTTAATTAGATTGTAATTACTCGTGTCACATTATATTACTTCTTTTAAAGGAAAAATGCAACTGTGTATTTTTCACTATTTATATGTCGATGTCATTTTTACATATAATTGCCAAAAGATTTACTTAATGTCTATGTTGGATAGTTGTAAATATATTGTTGAATAAAAAAAAAAAAAAATAAATAAATACACGTGATTTTTTACTATACCCCTCCCTCCCCCACGTGATATTTCGTGACTTTTTGTCAAACCCCCCCCTCTTCTTTAAAACCTCACGTGATTAATGGACGGTCCCTTAACAATACAAATCGGTTGATCCATGTTCACGAAATCGTTGACGAAAATTTGTATCTGCACACACATACACACATCAATTTTTTCTAAGGTATTCCAAAATGTTCAGAAACCTTTGAAACGTAAAGATATATAAAAATTTTCATTTTTATGCGATTACTATAACTTGCTCTACGGGAAGTTAAAAATAAACAGTCAGGGCAAACCGATTTAATGTCTGATTTATAATTTCAATGGGATTTTACAAAATAGTAGCAACATTATGCGAAATACACACATTTTTACTGTAAATAACCTTGTGGTGGTACTTCGTCACAAATATTTATCATAAGAGTTGAAATAACTATTAATTTAATTTAGCTCTTGTAAAATTGACTTTTTTTAAACATAGTTCCCTATTTTTTTATTGTTTACACTTTTGCCAGTGTAAAAGTTTAGTGGGGTTTTTAGCCGCAACCACATGTATGCTTTTATAGAGATTTTATTAATAAAACTGATAAATCTAACTAACTGTAAATAACTGTTTACTGTAAATAAGTATGAATGAGGACTGAATTAAGATTAAATGTGGTGAAATAAATCAAAGTTATAAATGGTTGGTGTATAAATTTATTTATTATTTTTTATACCAGGCACTCCTGCCTGACTGAGATATGAAAATGTATATTATGTTTATAAAAAGTTGAAAAAGAAAAAAAGAACTAACCTAAGAATGACAATATTCCTTATACGACCAAATAACAAAGCTGAAAACCGAAAAAAAACTACTATTGAAAGAATATACATTTGTTATATCGATATATGGGTGTTTATATCCTGACAGCGCCACGAATTAAGTTGATGGCTGGTTACACATTGAGAGTTATCTACAATATTGTATCGTTAAAAAAATTTATACTTAACTTGTTTTCGAGATAATGGTGGTGGACCTTTTTACCCGCGGAATTTTAAATCCCTCTCTATTATATATATATATATATATATATGTATATATATGTATATATATGTATATATATGTGTGTGTGCATATATATATATATATATATGTGTATATATATATATATATATATATATATATACGTGTGTGTATATGTTCATGCGTATTTTTGTGTAGTGCTTGTATGTAAATGCATTTTAGTTATTCTCATTTCAATTAGAGAAGAGAGAGAGAGAACTAATCTAAAATTAGAAGACTGTCTTAAGAAACCGCTTCAGTTTTCTTCGGGCCGCCGCTTAAGATAGGATTATTATACGTTGAAATATTTGTTGTCGTACTGTTGTTGCTTAAAATGTTTATCGATGATTCGTACTGATATAATGCCGTGAATGTTCTAAATGCCATCGATGTGATTTTCTACATTTTTCCATACATATATTGCAAAAATAATTATTTATTTGAACTGAGTTTGATTTTTGTAACATACCTAAAAAGCGTCCATTAAAACTATAAATAAAAATTTAATTCGAGTAAATGTAATATAAATATTTTTTTGTACATTACGATAATATAATTTATATAAATAATAATATATTTATAAGCTAATGAAATTAAATGTGCTAATCATTGTGATATAATAAATATTTGTTAATATAATAGTGACATAATAATACTAATATTTATTTTGTAATTATTAATTAATTTATGTGAATTCGAAGATTTTTTAGTAAACGGGTATAAAATTATTTTATATATGTGAATTCCGCTTATATATGAAACTTCTGCATATGTGATGTGTATTTGTGTACGACAGCGGAAAAGAAATAAAAATGTTACGAAAATTTTATTTATGTGTACAAGTAAATTTAAATTATTTTACCTAATCAGTGAAAATTGATAAAGTAATCTCTGTAAAGTATTATTAAATAATTCAACTTGTCAATTAATTATGTAGCCAGTATGTAACCCATCGCAAAATTACGACATAGTTCTCGGGATTTTTTTTCCTATATATTAATTACTATGTCTTTTTGTCGTATAACTGGTAAAAGTCGTGGTCTTCCACGGCCAAATTACTTTCCGGTACTTCCGCCCATCTCGCCAGCTGATGCCCGGAGGTTTTGTCGCATTACCGGAAAAGCGTATGGCTTGCCTAAACATCATTACATACCCGTATTGATTGGATTCGTTTCTCGAAGGCGAAAGGCAAAACAAGCAGCGGGTCATTCGTCATCCAAAAGTAAAGCAATTAAAAAACTTGCAGAAGAAGAGTTGAAAAATGGTCGAAACTGTCGAGAACATGAGATTTTGCCAGGATATAAATATGTGTTTCCCGTGCTGGACGAGAGTGTGGAATTATTTAAGTTAATAGATGTTGTAGAAAATGAACAAAAAATATTAAGTGAAGTGAAGCAAGATGATCAAGGTATAAATGCTAACAAAGAAGTAGAACGAGGGAAGGAAAATGCTGATAGTTTTGATTCACTCAAAAACAACGATCAAAAATCTAATCATGATCAGCAGAGTTTATATGTATACCCTATAGATCAGAAGCAGTATGGACTTGTTCTTCCAGAAGCTTTAGAAATGGCCGTGAGAGATGGACAAGTATCTGATTTATTATTAGCTAAAAATTCTGATACGCTTCTGTTGAAACTGAAAAAAGGTAGAAGAATTTCTGTAGGTCTTCAAGATTTTGTTAATAGTAATGATTTGCTACTATTAGAAGGCGAAGGTCCCTGCGATAAAGTTTTAGATGAGACTATTAAAGCAAAAAAGAGAGAAAGAAAAAAGGGTTTAGATTATGCCAAAAAAATATTTGAAGACAAGGAAAAAACTGCTGATATAGAGATAGAACAAGAAATCTGTGAAAAGAAACCGAAATTGGTTAATCGCGAAAAGAAAAAAGTAAGTAAAAAGCTAGAAATAGGCGAACTGAACTTTATTGAAGAAGTAAAAAGTCCTGCCAAAAGCCCTGTGCTGTATCAAACTTGTACGAATTTCAAATCAAGATCATGTTTAGGACTAATGGGGGATTGGCGCGATCTTCAAAAACCGCTAATTGAAAATTTCGATTGGGATGATATTGAAAAATCAATCACAAATAGGGATTCGATGATGGATTCTAATGTGAGCGAAATCATGAATACGGTAACATCTAACAATTTTATTGTACCAGTGCCGCTAAAGGTAGAATCTATAAACCATGTTATACCAAATACATGCCAATTTGATTCAAATACGTTGGACAAATGTTCAGGCTTCGAACCTATCATATTGCTGGATGACTTACAACCAATACAAAGCGTGCCGAATGAAGGAACCTCCGAAAGCATCAGAAAGTTGAATAGTTCGTTGAAAATTGCCCAAAGTGATTCTTCTAAGGAATTAAGTGAATCTTCGAACAATGATATTAAATCCACGTTTGACGGAATTGAATCATCTTTAGTTTGCGCTAATGAAATATCGAATGTTGTTCAAGATATATCAAAGGGAGAAATAATTACAATGAAAAATATTCATGGGCTTACATTAGATATAGATGGCTCTAAGAAGTTTTTGCCTGGTCAAACCATCGATAAAGAGTTTGTGCCAGGAACCAATGTTATGACACCTATTGGTGAGCAATTTATTCCTGGCATTGTTCTTAATACAGCAGAAGGTCCAGAAATAGTATCTGGGCGTATAGTAGAAGGTCCGGAAGGACCATTCTTTGCTGCTGGTCAAATGGCAGAGAAGGAAGATGGAGAGTCATCATTTATTTATGGTCAAACTTTCAAAGATGACAAGGGTAATAGTAGATTCGTAGAAGGTCAGACTGTTTATACTGAAAGCGGACCAAAATTTATAGCAGGTTCTATTGCAACAGATGGTAAATTTATTTCTGGGCAAACTTTGAATAATAAATTTGTACCTGGGCAAACTGTTTGTATTGAGGGCATTGGTGAAGCGTTTATTCCGGGCCGTAATATCAAAATTGAAAATAGTATTGAGTTTATACCAGGTCAATATACATGTGATGAAACATTTATTCCAGGAAAAAGTGTTTTGAAATCAGATTCGAGTAGTTACGAGTTTATTGCCGGACAATACGTAGAATCAACAAATGGAATTACTGGTGCTCTTGAAACTAAATTTGTTCCCGGCATAAGTAGAGAAAATGGAGATGGTGTATTGGAATTTTTACCAGGATATCAATATGGATCTAAATTTATTGAAGGTCGCGTTATTGATAAAATATTTGTACCAGGAAAAACAATTCAAAATAGTTCTGAAGCTGGAAATTGTAGTTTTGAACCAGCATATAAAATCAATGATTTAGTTATTCATAATGATTTAAATTTAGATATTGATGCAGTGGACCCGGTAAACTTTTCTTTTGTTGAAAATCCAGAAAAATCAATTTCTAATTTGAAAGAAAAACTGTGCAAAAATTTTGGTGTTGAAGGTACCAAGTTTTCTGCAGATATGGTTACTGATGGTCAAATAGCTCCCGGTCGAATAATTTTAACCGAACAAGGATGGCGATTTGTTCCAGGCCAAACTATTCAAACATCTGATGGTCCTAGATTTATCCCTGGTCATGTTATCGAAACAGCAGCAGGTCCTACTTTTATTCCTGGACAAATATTCTACACGGAAGAAAAAGGTAATTTGTAATTTGTTTTAAAATATACATATATGATATGAGTGGAATAATTATGGCTTCAAAAATATAAAATTATTAATTCTAATTTTTTGTATGTACGTTTAGGTCCAAGGTTCGTGCCTGGTCAGATCATTGAAACTCGTTCTGGTCCCATGTTTGTTCCTGGGCGAATAATAGAAACATCAGATCCCAATGGTACCGCACGAATTGCTTTTCTGCCTGGAAATATTGTAGAAACAGATCAAGGGCCAAGGTTTGTTGCACCTGATTTAACTGAAACTCATGGAGGTGGACAAGAATTTACGGTTCAGAGTTTTGGCGTCACTCAAGAAGAGCTAGAACTTTTTGATATGCTAGGGCCTGGAAACTTAGACCAAATATCTAGTGAATTTGCAAACGGCGAAGACGGAAAGTTAATATTTGATAAACTCGGACCCCATTTAGATGAAGTATCTTATGAAACTGTTATTAATTCAAAAGTACTGCGTAAATTAGGTGAACAGGGCAGACGTTTGACTAAGAATTGCCCAGAGTTCGGCATTGTCGGCGACGGCACATCTGGGCAGAAACTTGTCTGTTGCGATTTTTTGGATGCAGAGTTTGATGAAACTGTTAAAGAAATCTTTACCATTGTGAGCAAGACTTCTGAAAATAAGCTACACGAAAAATTAAATATAAATACTCAAAGTGAATTTGATGTATGTAGTTTTAATAATAGTGATAGTAATGGATATGATTCCCAAAACGATAAATTAGATTCTGACGAATTCGGTAAAAGATTACGTGGTGTTGTTCAAGTGTTATCTAATGTTTGTCGTGTTGTTGAAGCGCACGGGTTAGAAAACAAACTCACCAAATGTGTTGATACTACGCCGAAGTTATCTAATGATAATAAGCACAACAGCGATATTTTAGTTAATATTTTAACTCAGTTATTGAGTCAAAATCCAGTGGAAATGACCATTGGTCCTAAACAAATTTTAAATGTAGTAAAAGACCATCTTTTAAACTCACAAACCGATGATATTTCACTGGTCAGGATGCACAATATGTTAACGGACTCAAAATTATTAAATTTAGTAATAAGAAAAAGTTTGATAGAATGCAAAAGGATATCGATATCTCAAAAGTTGGGTTTAGATTTACAAACAGAAAGCCCCGAGGAAAAAAGTAAAAATGAAATATTATTTTATCTATTGGACAACTCTCCTGAGCTAGCTGAAGCGTTTGCAGCTTTGTCGGACTTTGAAGATGGATTTTTAAAAGAAATACTCGCTGATTTTAAAACTATGATAGGAGCTACTAAAGAAGAAATTTTATGTGTTCTACGTAGCCGCGTATTGGATAGGATTTTACATATGGATATAACACAACTTGATCCAAGTAAAGCAAAACTAATTCCGCAAATTTTGCAAAATTTACATGATGCTAACCGGAAGGATTCAGTCACGAGTACATCAGATGATAGACAGGATAGTGATTCTAGTCAACGATGTTGTTCCGGTAAACCTATACTTATTTTGAAGCCTGATTTAGAGGCTGTCGTACCTAGGGAGGCCACCCGCGACGTATTGTGCGGACGAACTGCTTATTCGGTGCTGGACGAGACGGGTTTACGTTACTTCGAGCCTACTAAATTACGGTTAGAAAGCCAAGAATTGAACGGAACACAATATACCAATGGCGGTGGAAAATACGATAGTCTAATGAATACAGATGACAATAATTCGGTCCTCACCGACGAAAGGTCTAGTTTGTCATCGGATCACTTGAGTCATACGCCGAGTCAAAAGAATGTTGCGGAATATATTAAACATGGAAATGAAATTAACTATAAATCAAATTCTCCTAAACTGGAAGAAAAACCAATGGTATCTAAGGATATAGTAAATAACTCTATTAAAAATAATAAAAATAAAGCTATTGTAAGTGTTGAAACGGCTTGTGTTCAAAATATTGTGAATAATAATCATAGTGTAACGCATCGTGACGAGAATTTTAATATGAATAAATTTGATTCTCTTCGGTATACTCCAGGATTTATAAAAGTATTACAAAAAAAATTCGATCTTTTGGTAAGTAGATATGTAAGATTTTTATATATATATATATATATATATATATTATATTTATATGTATATGTTTAAGCATATTATTAATAACTATTCTTTGTTAAACACATCTCGCATGAAATAAGTCGGCCGAATCTATGTGATATTTACTTGATTATCTTGAAGTTACTAAATTACATATTACATCAAGCCTAGAATATTTAGCCTCGTATGTTCTGATGTTTGTATGAACGTTGTGTATTGGATTTATCTAAATCTAATCGAGAGTAAAAATTAAATATTTTACATCGATCAATATCTAAATTTGGAAAAATATTTAAATCTATTATTACATTTATACCAAATATATTTTAACTATAAGAATTTTAATTAATTATTCACACGCTAATGGCCCATTAGTGTGGGATGGTGTCTCGTTCCCAAAAGTGTTTGGGAAATAAAAACAAATGCGCTTCTGTTTTACTGCCAAACTTGCAATCAACTTTAGTATTTTTCTGTGGTCGCAAATTGTTGGCAACTGACATAGTCGTTATTGAATTTTAGTACAAGTGTATATTACAAAGTGAACATAAAAGTTTAGTGCGAATTGGTGATTAATGCACATAACTATGATTGACAACATGACGGTGATACTTAAAAATGCATATAAAACGTCTAGTAAGACAATATACGACGAAATAAACATCCTAGAGCTATAACAGTTTTTCAATATAGCCACATATCTATAAATACCAAATTTATTTACAAATTATAATAGCTCAATAAATAATTGGTAATACGTAAATTCATAATGAAAGAAAAACATTTGCATGGCTTAATGAAGTTAATTTTATTTATTTCATTTTAATTCTTTATCGATTTTATTTTTTATTTGTGCTTTTTTTTGAAGATTTCTCTTTGAATATTGTTGTATTCGGTATTGTTATGCAAAGTTCAATATTCCTTGTTTGGCAACGTTTTTCCAAAATTCTTCTTCGGAGTTTCTTACAAGTATCATCAAACTTTTTCAGCAGCTGTGTATTTAAGTATATTTTATATCAATAATAATGAAATTTATTAATTTATTTCTGACAATAGAATGTCAATGTTCTTCTTAGTAAGCTGCATGAATACTGACTGCTTTACTAGTTTCAACGAGTGTATTATTATGTAGTGCATATCAAATGAGCTTATAATCTTTATTCATATAAATATTATAATGAAGTCTAATATATATAAATAGCATACAAGAGTTTTGTTTTATTCAATACAATTTTTTTGCGATAATTATTTTTATAAATTTTTCAAAAATTGTTATTTTTTTTTATTTGTCCTGACATTTTTTTTGTGGAAAGCAAAATCTTAATAGAATTAGCTACAATTATTCATATAAATTATCTCATGATAATTCTACAACTTTGTTAATATATAGTAGTACTATATATTAACAAAGTTGTAGAATTATCATGAAATAATAAGCTTCCGTATAGAGGCAGAATAAAACTACATCAAGAAGAATAATAGTTCTAATATGTGAATTTATATAAACCATTAAATAACTATTATAGTACTATTATAGTACGCTAAAAATATAGTAAAATTGTAGTTTTAAATATTATAGCTGCCGAGTTTCACATGGTTTAATTGGCGAATTGCAGTTGATTAACTGTTCACTATAAAAGCGAATACAGCTTCGAATTATTTAATGATTTATATAAATTCACATATTAGAACTATTATTTTTCTTGGTGTACTTTTAATCTGCCTCTATACGGAAGCTTATGGTTGATTTTACAGAATGTGTTCAAGCACCTGGCGCTGAACATTGAACATTTCTAAGAAAAGGCTATTATTTCTAACTATTCATAATTCGTGTTTTTTGATCTTTCTATTATAGCCTAAATCAAATTTTGCACAATAATATTGCGGTATAAATACCGGTCGACGAGTTATTAGAAATACATCAGAATTATCAGCGTTCTTACGATTAGCGCTGCACAAGAATATTAACTAATATAGCAAAATACTAGCATCTACGTAGAACAACATGTGACTGGCAATGAGTCTGAAAACGAAATTAATGTTGTCTAATTATTCTCGTGCAGAATTCGTCAAATCATTCTTGTGGATCTATTTATACGTTACTTTGTCGTTTCGTCGGGGGACGAATTGATGCCGAAATTGAGATAAGAATATTTTGGCGCACGTGAATGAAATAGTGAACGAATGCAATTATTACCATGTTGACAGCGGACAACGTGCTTTTGCAATGATTTTGCAATATAACTCGGGAGTTCTATAGCGTACAAAATTTAAATATGTTTTTCGATTGCGCCTGACAACAATTTGGCCGGTGGCTGAATCACAGATTTATTTTGATGCCAGTTCGTTATGCCGTGTTTGACTTCGTGTCAGATCTCATGATATATGCGTTCCTTTGATTTACGTCCACTCTTAAATTGGAATATCGATAATTAATCACGTGCTTGCTTGAGAATAAATTTGTCCTGGGAAATGTTTGCAGCATTGTACTTTGTATCTGCAAAAATAATTTTGCTCTATTATAATTCAACGCTTTCTTTGCATATTTTTATGTCTCTTCATGTTTGGTTCATTAACTACCAGTAATATAGTCTTTGAATTAAGTAGGAACTATAATAACAAATTTATTCAGGAAAAAAGTAACCAATTACAAAAACCGTTTTTTAATTTAGTGCGGACAAAATGCTAATAACATACAGATATGCTATTTTTTAAGAAGACAGTCCACAAATAAATCAGTAGATGGAGATGATCCCAAAAGGAACAAATCTTTCATCATTAACAGCTGTCGTCAGGCTCTGAACGGGAAAAAGGTCTTTGCAATAAACGCTAGTCTTTTCTTTTTACCGGTGAATTTTTTGGTCTGATTTTAGAAGTAGTTTATGTAGAAGTTACAAGCCAATCAACTTTGACAGGTTTCAATTTTTTTTTGGTCTTGAATTAACTACCTGGTAGTACTATGAAATTTTGTCCATTGTATGTCATTTTTTCCGAATAAAAATTCCATCTAATACCCGATAATTGCAATTGAAATTAATTGAGATCTCTAGTACTGGCATATATGCATTGATTAAAATTGAAATAGCTATGAATATTAATAAATAAGCCCCAAAAATACGTGACAAAACCACTCTCAAAATAAACTTCTGAAGGCGCGATATACGTATGAACTGATTTTTTTGACGAAACTGTGATAATGTCGCTTAACATCTGACAGGATTGTGATTATAGCTTTTTTAATTTTATATAGTAGCGACAAAGTTACTAAAACTGGTCAATTTTGTAATAACAATAATAAATAATTTTATCTGTATTTTCCCTACTTATTAGTCTTTCAATATGAAATTGCCATTTTTTGCATAGCGATTACAAATTGTAAATGTGTATATAGTGCACTCAAAAAACTATGAAAATTTATTTTTCTATTATTTTTCTACTTTTTTTAAAATAATCTTACTCCTTAATGAACTGTTATTTTTAATTTAATGACCTTATGACACATATTTAAATATACACCTATAGAAAAAGAACTGAAATATAGTTATGCCAACTTTATTTTTGTATTCTAAAAACTTTGATGATTGCCAATGTGTCACTTTGAGATGCCTTCCTTCATTCAAGATTCTGTCACTTCCCGAAAAAGGTGTACTAGAGCGTTTTTCAGTTTTTGAATGTATATTTAGATAAATTTTCAGTATTAATTTGCAATTAATGATGTTAATGCGTTAGTAAAAGCAAAATGGATTATAATAAAACTGTAATAATATTAATATTATCACATTATTGAAACTAAATATCACTATAATATTCTCGAAATAGTGCGAAAATATATTCAGAAAAAAGCTTTATTCTCCTGTGAATAGTTTAGTATTTTAGAACTTTTCTCTAAGGAAAATATTAACCGCCGTTCTCAATTTATTCTTCGTTGTTTTATTATGTAATAAATATATCTTTATTATTATTTTAGATATCTAGGAGTTCACATTTTAATATTTTTTCATTATTCTTAAACATTTTGTAGAGTAAGATATATAAATGCCAAAAAAATGTAGATGTTTTTCTTATATTTTAGAATATATCATATTATCATATTATATTATATTAGAAAAAATAAATGCTTATGTGTAAAGTATGTATATACTTTCATTCGAATATAATTATTCTGTCATATTTTCGAAATTATTAAGGAATTAAAATGTTTTTAAATACACTTGTTTTAAGGATATGGAGGGAAAAGTACAAATAATTTCTACTCAGTATTGAAAGAAAAATATTATATTAATAGAATATATATAGAATTTTACTTATTATTAAATTATTGCATGAGACTTATGTTCAAATATTCAAATTTTGAAAAATTTTAGGTTTGATAAATTATATTTTCTACACTCTATATTTTTATTATAAACTTAAGCTGCTTTATTTTATTGCGTGATCAGAAAATGCTATACAAAAATATTTTCTGAACCATGTATAAATATCTTTATTTATGTATATATGCCCAGTTGTTCGATACACGCCTTGGATTCACTTGAAAATATAGATAGAAATATGTTTTCAAGTGAAAATAGGTCTTACTCGACATTGCTACATCAATAAAAAGTTTATACAGTATTACCGAAATTGTAATAATAAATGCATCACATCTATAACAGCCACGCCATTAAGAAGTCAGCATATAGGTCATAGGACTCAATAAGTTCTGATTGAAATTAAAAAGAAAAAAAAAAGAGTGCGCGTAAGGTTCACACGCGATTGAAGTAAAACTTATACTACTGTACAAGATGGTATAAGTAAAAATAAATATATCATATAACAATTTTGAATAATGTTTTTTAGTAATATGGTAACACTTGTAATGCACATATTTATTAGTGTCAACCATTATACACATTTATTTGATGATAAATTATAAAGTATATATTTATAATAGCATTAAAAATATGTATAATATTTAAAAACAAAAATGTTATTAAAGTCATACTTTAAATATGGCATGATCGGTTTGTCATTGTAATTAGCATTTAAAAATAAACCTTCATTAGAGAAATGAAGTAATTGCTGATTAATAACTTCTACAATATTCGTTCACACAGTGGATTGTTTTAAACAACGCCTAAACAAATATTTTTTTCGCAACTTCACTCATCATGTAATAATTGTGTTCGAAGAACTTCATGTAATTAAAATTAACATACATTCATTGACGGTATTTTTTTTACTTTTTCGCTGGCGATATAATCTCATTCTTTGAACACCTGTAATATCTGTTTTGTCTAAAAAATATTTTCCATTTGAATAACTTCAAAGATTTATATAAACTACTAATAATATAGAAATAATTTCTAATCAATAAACTTGCACAAATGTTTAATTTGTTTTATTATTTTTAAGGAACAGGATAAAATATTCTTCTGATACAGGCATTTTTTATTAAATCCAGATTTGTACTACGATGTAACTTTAAAATGTTTATTTATCTATGCCGATTTCCTTGTTGATATTGGTATGCATACAACGTTGGTGCCGGTACGCATACAACGTTGATGCCGGTACGCATACAACGAAAGATATCTATTCACCTACGCGACGACTAATCACAATCGACCCGTATAGAAATGATATCATCGAGAGCGAATGACGAATCATTGGCACTCGACTCTTATTTTATCTTATTTGCCGTAACGCACTTCCGTTGCATTTGTACGGATTTACACCCTAGCCGCGTCTAAAGAAGTTTTACTTCAAAAAAATTATTGTTCGATTGCCTCATTTGTAAATAGACATATAATGTCAAATGTTTACGGCCTCTGTATGTTTCGTTGTCAGAATTATTGTGCTAGAAAATGCTCGAAACATCATAAAAATAGTTACGGTATGATTTTCTATTGATATCATTTATTTTTAGAACTACTAATTTTAAGTTCCACGGCTGATATGATTCACACATTGTATTTATAACGATGCGGGTTTATACGTCGTATATGTTTCATCGTGTAATAAGTTTTGTGAAACTATTTTACTATACAAAACTACAAAGGCGGGATTTTAATAACTGGCATGTTTTCAACATTGCAAGAAACGTATTAATAAAATTATTATAGTCGATTAACAATATAAAAACTTGCAAATGTCATACACTTTTGCAATACACCTTGGAACTTATTGTGCAAGGCATCGTGCCTCGCGTAAATTGCTGGAATTTCCCATACCGTAACTTAAAATGTTTAAAAGCATGTTTTTTGGAAACTTTGAACAAATTGGATGTTTAAGATTTTTGAAAAACTGGGATTTTTTTGAAAAATTTGATATTTTTTAAATTTGGATTTTGTATTGAAACTTCGATTTTTTTCTAAACGAAACGAAATAACAAAACTCTTAAGCGCTGCGCTGTAGTCTAACGGTTAAATATTAAACATCTTGGTTTGGAACCCATAGAAATGCAACAAAATTTGTACTTAATATTAAAATCTATACAAAATATCTGATAATCTGGTGTGCATTTGTCTAATCATCATTTTTGACCGCCAAATGGCATTTGTTTACTTTTTTCGTTGTATTTTCGAAACCGCTAGACCTGCCGTTCCAAAAATGTTGCCCAGTATCTTTGAAACGGCTGAACCACCTGTCTTGACCCAAAAACATTAGTATAACTTAACCTACGGCCAGTTAATAAAGAAAGAGAATATTGACTCAAAACATTAAATAAAAATAAATTGAAATGAAAATATTACATACAAAATTATGTACATATCTGCATAGTCTTAAAAATAAAAGTAGTTTATAAATATTACTATATTATTGTTTACGATATAACATAAAAATTGTGTAGTTTTGAAATAGATATTTAGAGCAATTTAACGCAATAGTCGTATTGTGCGTTTTAATTGTAGTGCGCTAATTTTTAACTACCCGTAGGCTGCGCTATAATAAACGCAAACAAATAGAAAATAAAATATTTTATATATCTACGTTTCAGAGGTTTCTGAACATTTTGGCATACGTTAGAAGAATTGATGTATGTGTGTATGTATGCGTGGTCACGGATACAAATTTTCATCGACGATTTCAAGAACACGGATTAACCGATTTGAATCATTCAGAAAACATTCGACCCTATTGATAAGAGACGCGCAGCCGTTTTGTAGATACAGGGCAAATATTGCTAAAAATGGTAATTCAGTTTTTGACAGAGCGGAGCATCCAATTTCAATAATTCAAAAAAACAAATTATTTGTATTGACGAAATGAAATGATTAAATTTTTGGAAAGGCTGGCCAGCGATTTCAGAGAAGCAATAAAAAGAGTATAAAAAATGCACTTGACGGTCAAAAATTATCATTAGACATATGCACATAAAATTATCAGGTATTTTATAGAAATTTTAACTATAAATACAAATATTGACTTCGATATTTTGTCTCTAGAATAGCTACACGGCACGATTGCTTTGAAAAAAAGTTCAACAATTTCAAAAAAATTCAAAATCATTTCATCTATCTTACATCTGATTTTATTTACCAATGTTTGGTTTAATCTCTCGTTTAAGCCATTAGAGAAAGGAGAGTTTATTTTCTTATTCTGTTTATAAATATTATTGTTACATTCTGCATTATATGTAATTTTATCTTAAGCATTTTATGTTACTAACTATATATTGTAATTTTGTATATATTTTAATTGTTATTCATTATGTAAAATAATTGTATTTTTGAGTCCTCTTGGAGAAATCTGTGGGCTATATATTTAAATAAATAAATAAATAAATAAATGTAAAAAATTCAGATTTTTCAAAAGAGTCAAATTTTTAAAAATAATTTCAAATGATTGAAAAACTTCAAAGCTTTTTACAAATTTTAATTTTTAGTACGGAAGGTTCCAGCAATTTGCTTTAAAGCACGAGGTCATGCATCACTAGTTAATTTTAATTTATGTTTACCAATTTTTGGCGATTATGATGAATTAGGATTGTATTTTGAATATTTGCGTCTAGAAATTTGTTAGTAGTGCTTCTTATTATTAGTGTGTATAACTCGGATGCTTCTCGGATGCTGGATGATCTCATATAAAATATTTTCTTTTTCATGTGATTAGGAGACTGGCACAATTTCTTTAGTAGTGTAGCAAAATATCAGTTCATAAAATAACATATTTATATGGGTTACTGTTACACTTAGTTACACTTATTGCTATTTCAAATTAAATTTGCAATAATATGTTATATTTTTCTTCAGAAAACAAAATAATTAATAAACGAGTCAATAATAATATGAATTAAATTGTTTTTTTATTTACTTTGTTGTTTACCTATTTTTTAAATTTTTACAACTTTGTTGAACTATAATTAATTCAATTTATTTTTATTTATATTTATATTTAATTTGTTTTATCGTTTATAATATAACATCAAAATTTTGAATTTTTGTTTTATTGGTTAGTGCAGTTTCGCATACAATCAACAAACTATCAGCGGCACCTTAAAGTTATAAATACTTTTTACATATTTCAAAGTTTATAAATTCATTATCAACTTACATTTACAGAGCCATCGGGAAACATTTATGGCGACGAAGTCGTACTCTACTTCGGATTCCCATGCTAATCCTGTGACCATACAGATGGGAGATATGGTGCAACTTTTGGAATCGAATGCCAGTATCACTCGAGCAAAGTTAGTTCAGTTTTAATATTTTTAATAAAAGTATAGTATAGTATATTTATATATATATATATATATATATATATATATATATAATCAATTATGCCTTATATATAATAAGGCAGGGCTAGACACAAAGGTCCAGTTCGACTTTGAGCAATTATATTGTGAAAATCAAATCAATTACATCACAACAAATACCACAAACAACTATGTGACACTGTTCAGTAAAACTTCCATCTAATTTTGCCTTTATTCCAAAAATTTGTCACCAAGCCGTTTTTACCCCATAAAACAGCCAGGGAGCAAAAAGATCCACCATTTATTTCTAATTGAAAAATGGTTTTGAAGGTGATCTTTTCACCCGCGGGCCTTTAAGCCCTGCTTTACCCTGTATATATGCCCGACTTTGTTCCTCTGTTATATATCACTTTTCTACATTCTATTTTTGAAAGTTTGTACATGATATGTTTCTACTGCTTTATATCCTGCGTCTCTGCTATGAATTATTTATAGTGGTGCATGGCTTCGTGCCTTAAGGCAAATTGAAACTTTTCGCACCAAAGTCTAAGGCAGTTTTTTAACTTTATTCATTGGAGCTTAACTGCTAGACTATCCAAAAATGTAATAAGTTTTTCATTTTGTAACTACAAGTCAAACATTTTTTGAATTATTGAAATCGAATGCTCCTTTCTCTCAAAAACTCAATCACCATTTTTGGCACTTTTTGCCCGTATCTTCCTAACGGCTGCACCTGTTTTGGTAATAAACTAATCTATTCGCATATACATTCACACGCACTCGTACACATGCATTCATTCCTTCTAATGTATCCCAAAATGTTCAGAAGGTTTTGAAACGTAAAGATATTTAAAAAAAAACATTTTCAATTTTCTGATTACTGTAACTTACCGGCAACTTTCTCGCATAGCTCTAAATTGGAAGCATATGTATAATTGGAAGTCGTTTATTTTCTATCTCTTATTGGTTAAATTATATTCACACACTGATTATTTTTGAAAAGTACAACATGTGTAAACCTAATTTATTTGTTTTAATACATCGAATTGCAATCAAGAGAAGTAATTCTATAAGCTATTGTAACATAATTTGGATTCCCAAATTATATCAGCGACCGAATAGTGGTTTAGTAGAAAAACCCAGTAGAATGCTTCTACAATAAAAAAATCTAAAATTAAAATTATTAAAGTTATTAAAAAAATAATCTAAAATTACAACTATTTGATTTTTTAACCTAATTAATTATGAAAAAATATATTTCGTCGACATGATTATTTCTTTACTTCTATAATAATATATATGCGTTAGCATTTTTGTCAACCATGCCCTGAATCTGGAAGAGATTGGCTTAAATATCTTAAATAACATTCGATATCATCGTTCTAGCTTCTTTCTGAAAACCGCATATCATTTCGCATGAATCGCACATGTATATCAATAATATGTTTCGGCGTATTCGATGTGTAATAAAACGCTTTTTGAGATAAAGAGTATTGGCCTCATAAAGTTGAAAATATGAGACGGCATAGTTCTCCGCTCAATTTGATCTAACGGTCCAGTTCAAAAATAGATCGCAATTGACTGCAGGAATACACAAGTTTGCAATATATTCATTAGGATGCGATGCATCAGAATGTTTGCACGTAAACAATACTCGAATCAGTCATTACCGACTTTTGAAATACCAACACGATTACTAGAAATAGATTCTGAATGAAGGAAAGATAAACTTTCACCGTTATATATATATATATATATATATATATATATATATATACTAGAATACCCGACAGACGTTGTCCTGTATCCACATCTACATTTTTTTAATATCCTATACTAATATTTACCGTTCAGTTAAAAATAATAATTATTATTTTTCGAATTACTATTTACACCAGTTGAGTGATGTTATTAAATGTAGAACCGCTTCAAATAAAATGATCATTCTCAATTCTCACAGTTAATACTTTAATTATGCCTTTAACTAATATTAAAATATGTTCAATAAAATTGTATATTTAAAATTATACATTGCAATTTATAGAGCAAATTTATTTCCAATAGCTCAATTTATTCTAATGCGGAGGGTTATCCAATATTTTTAGTCATACCTGTAGATGTGGGTCTATAAATGAATGATTTTTTGTTTATTCACGACTAAAACATCGATTCTCCAAATTTATTTATGCCACACAAAAAATTATTGTCTGCCTTTGTAATTTATAACATAAAATATACGTATTGGAAATTGAGGTCTTTTAAAAGGTATAACAAATTCAGAAAGAATTAATATAAAGCAAGCGCGGTAAAAGTACAATATCAACTTCGATTTTTCTACTCAAAATAATTGCTTCAATTAAGTTGCCTATAATTTTTATAATTTTGTACCATATTTTAACTGGTAATTTAAATATCTAAATTACATTTTTCTCACTAACAATTCAATATACATTATTAATTAAGTTCATATTTGAAGTGAATTAATTTGTCAAATCCTGTTCACATGTGCTCTATTCAACCTACGATCAACAAAATTATTGCAGAAAACTGAAAGGAAAAAAACATGTGCCCTGCGATTTTTTTACTGTGCTTCAATTTGCTTGATATTTTGGAAATAGGCTAATCTTAATCTTAAATTCAGAAGTAAAAACAATTTGCACTTTTTCACCACTCCCGGCATTAATTGGATTATAACTTACTTAATTCTGATTTTATCAGAACTTCTAATATACTATTCTAAAGGTAATTAAATGACCTACAACTTTCTCTATCATAAATTTTACCGTAACTTCTCTTATTTCGAAACGGCGAAGGGTTAAAAGGCTCGAAAGACACTCTGGTTGGACAGCCGCGTACTTTTTAAACAATCATAGCTCTATCAATATTTGTGTAACAGAAAAATAATAAAAAGCAATAATTAGTCAGAAAAAGACATTGAATTTTTATTTATATACCTTTATACGTATCTTTTATTCTGTCAGAGATATAATAATGAGAAATTCATAAACATCACACACATAAAATCATGAGTTTTTGAAAACCGTTTGTACTAAAGTTGTGGTATTTTCTAGAATCCATCAAGATTTCTCAAACCAAGTTAATTCTAGATGGCATACGATTATTTTTAATTTTGGTGGAAATGGCACTCATAAACTATTTTATTTAAATTTTTAACTTTTCGATAGGATAAGATATTATGTTTTTTATTGCAGTTATGCAATGTATATATTTATATATATATATATATATATATATTAATTGTTTAATATGAACAAAACAGCACTCAGATTTGTTTAACACAACTTTATTTTATGATTACAGACTTTTCGAGAATTTGTTTTTTCATTTTTATCGATTTTTTGTAGGCGATAGCACACCTTTTGTTTACATTATAATGATATCCATTCTGTCTCCATCTAGATAAGTACTTCAAATTTGTTTAGAATATTTCTGTAAGTGTTATGTGTGTCTTTAGTACTGTGTCAAGCATTGCAAGGAATAGTTGGTGTTTTTTGTTTATCAAAAATTAAATGAAATTTAAATAAGTTATTAAAGAATGTGTAGTATATAAGTAACTGTTTTTGAAATTACACTGAAGATGAGACACACCATAGTCTCGAAACGTCTGTAATCATAAAATAAAGTTGTGTTAAACAAATCTGAGTGCTGTTTTGTTCATATTAAACAATTAATATTCGTTCCACTCATATCATAAAATTCTATATATATATATATATATATATATATATATATATATATATATATATATATTATTTACCATTCAAATTACAATCTGTCTTAGTGAAGACATTTAGTAATTGATATTTGATTTAAATGAAAAAAAAACATTGTATGCGTCTTTTTTTCATGATAGCTAACTCATTTTACACAAACATAAAACCCCATATCTAGCTTAATATTGTTCCTTGAACACTATAAAACAGCGATTTATTAAGATTTTAATTTATATAATTTTGTTCATTTCAGTATTTTCGTTAAAATGTATATTTCTGGAGATATTAGCAAACAAGGCTCTTAATTTTTTTTAACGTTTAGTTGAAAAATAATAATCTGAATTTTAAATAGGATATGTGTGAGGTGCAATCACTGATATTTCACAATCCTGAGACGCATGCGCAGACTGCATCACCTGTCAGACGCATGTTGACTCTATCTTATTATATTACATATTTTAATTTTTGGCACATCTCAGCTGCTTTTTGACAAAAATAATGTAGACATTACATTTTCCATATTTATAATCATGAATTTATTATATTTTAATATCCAAAAAATCCTAGGAAATTTCCCGAACAAACTTCAGGAAGAATTTCGATAAATAGTTTAGGATGATTAATCTTTCATACCCCATTACAGAAGAATTATATATATATATATATATATATATATATAGACGTTGAAACATATTTGAAAAAAATTAGCAGCCCATTTGTCGAAATAAAAAATATAGTTAAAAAAAATAATTTTCTTTCTAATCTTGATGTGTGTCATTATTCAGTAATCTAAAATACAGATATATATATATATATATATATGTATATATATATATATATATATATATATATTTATATTTATAAGGAATTGAGAACAAATATACAATATATATATATATATATATAAATAAATAGAAACAATATACATATCACTATATACACACTGGTGGTATTTATATTGTTATTCATTTTTTTATACATATATGTGTTCTCTATATCTTATATATATAATATATATTTATGTCGTCTTTATGCAGTGGAACTAAAATATATTTATTACATTTTTTCCTTATTTTAACATACTTAAAATTATGAAAAGTTTTAAAATTTGTGCATCCTCTTGTCAATTGTCTCTGCTTTTAATATAATTCCAACGATAAATAAAACCAAATTTTAGAGATCTATAACTTACAATATAATTATAAGAACAAAATTTTCATTTATAAAAGCATGAAACTAATTTCACTTTATTTTTTT